ATTATTTTATATTTCAAACAATAACGATTCGAACACGAACGAACGCATCATTGTTCGTGTTTGGTTCGTTTAACTAACCGAACGAAAAAAATTTGTTCGTGTTTGTCTCGTTTACTTATCGAACGAATCGAACACGAACTCATTGACGAACCGAACACGAACTGTTCGCAAACAACGAGCTTTTTTGACAGCCCTACCAACGACACGAAGGAGCTGGTCGGGCGACCGAACCAGCCATCCTAGGGCTAAGGCAGGCCCACGGGTTCGAGGGAATGAGGCGGGGGGGGAGGTGGATTTAGGTTAAGGATTTTAATATAAGATAATAATAATAATAATAATAATAATAATAATAATAATAATAATAATAATATATTATTTATTATTATAATTAACACTTAAATAGGTATTTTCCCCAAGGCGCGCCGTCGCAATGAAACGAACATCCCCCTAAGCAAAATTGATGTTCCGAACGCATCAGCGCAGTCCGTTTCGTCATCCGGAGTCGTCCAGGCAACCTCATCGTCGATCGGGTTAAAAACGCGTCGCGGTCCGTATCCTATTAAAATTTCAGCTTGTATTCGATTAAAGAGGACGGCGAAGAGCGCAACGGCTCCAAATCAACGAGTAAAGTCAATCCTAAGGCCGGCAGTCCTATAGGAATGCTTTCTGAGTTCCTTCGGAGTAGACTTATCTGCTAAGCAATAGTGGTCAAGACTACCACATGGAACGTCAAGTCGAGCGAAGAAAAGTTCAGAATTGCTAACAGGGAGAGTTCATTCACTAGTTTTCTAGGAGTAGTCGACAGAAAGGTCCTACGGCTAGATCCTAGACTACTAAGGAGGGGAAAACTATACCTCGATCGAAAGCGAGGTCAACAATGACCTATTTTTTATTTTTTATGTTTTGAAAACTAGTTGTTGATGACTTTTCTGATATGCATCTGATTTAGTTATTTGTCTGTTTACCTCTCTTTTTCTTGTCGTGTTCTTTCTATTTTGTTATTCTCAATGTCTCGATGTTTTCATCTTTATTTGGCTCTTTCTTTATGTAATTTTTTTAATGATATTATGCTTTACATATGTTTTATGTTTTTCACTCAGGTTCTAATCAGGGTGGAAACAATTTAACTCTTAAAGGATGGCCTCTCACTGTGAGTTTTCTCTACATATGCATAAGTTTCTTAGGTTACTAATGCGAGTGTCATCATGAATTAAGGAACAAAAATTCTTGGCAGTCATCTATGAATTATTTTTCGGGAAATTTATATTCATGCCACACAACTCGTATGTTTTGTATTTACATATCTTGCACCAAATGTTTTCTATTTACACTAGTAACACGTTGGTGTCATAAACCTATGCATGAAAAGGTATATTTCACTTTTAAAAAGTTAATAATTGTGGTATTTTTTATGTGATTTTAAAACTGAGTGCTATAAATGTCAATATAAAAGTTTGGGAGTTAGATATGTAAATACATAAGCATTGTGTGATATGCATTTAAATGCCCTATTTTTTAATTATATTTTTGATATGACCATATATTTTCAACTGCGTTGACATAGGATGAATAGCTAGTTGCTACCTTCAGTCAATTGGATATGATACGGGAAAGTAAATGCATCTAAGAATTTATGCAAACCTTTTCCCAAATTTACACTTTTATCTGAACTTCTTATGGGACCTTCATTCAAGTATATTTTTGGAGCTACTGATTTTGCATCAAATGCATCCACATAAAATTGAATTATTCATGTGATGGTTTCCAAATATAATATATTATCCTTGTTTTAATTTCTCACGTTAATCATGTAGTTGATCTTTATATTTAGTTTATAAAAAATATCATTTTTAAAATTTTTGTTCCATGGTAGCCTAATCAGATTTTGTTTTAACAGCAACATTTTATCAAAATAATTGACCATGCCCCTTCTATTAATCCAATTTAAAAATACCTTGGAATTATACCTCCCATCAAAAGCGAGAATATAATAACTTTATTATTTTGTACTTTTCCTGATCATATTTAAATCATTTTTGTTTACATTGCAAGTATTTATAGTTTTGTTAGTTGAGTTTAATATATTGTAGAATGTGTCAGTGTCTAGTTTTTGTAATGCATGTTCAGTGTGGAGTGGAAAAATCGTTTAACAGGTAAAACTTGCAAAACACAACTATTATTTTTAAACAATTAATTGCTACATTCAATGAATACCAAAATAAAATGATGAAAATCAATTCAAAGAATTACTTGATGACCTTAACCTGAAATCATGATTAGGGATTGTGATTTAAAAAGTTGTGCAAATGTTTTAAAGTTTGCACTATTATTGAAAATCATATTGAATCAAGTTTGGCTAAGCGTACTTGGTCATTCAAATCAATATCAAAATGTAAGAGCCCACTATGTCAAAGTTTACACTTTTATATAGTACACTCAATGACCCATTATTGTGTCTTGAGTTATTAGAATCATGAAAGAATTGCCATTGATGTGGATTGTACATTCTCTAGATTGAAATTTGCATTAGGCAAAAGACAATTGTTGAAACCATAACAACTCATCTAGATATAAAGAAATTTTTGTAGTGGATTCACGAGATTGTTCAAGAAAACCAATCCCTTCCTTCAAGCCTTATTGATATAGGGTTGTGAATTTAGCTCGAAGATCGTTAATCGCTTAAAATTTTATTCGAATTTTGGTTCCAATCAAGATTGGATTGAAATAAACAAGTCGGGCTACAAATCAAAATATTTGATTGAATTTTTTTCGAGCTGATTTTGAGCCGACCCTATCTCGGTTCAAAATCGGATCATTAATATTGAGCGTATAGATAAAAGAAGAGAAGAGGAAAGAAGAAAAAAATGAGAGAAAAAAATAATAATAAATAATATTATATAATTAAATTAATTAGTCACTTAATTAACTGTCTACCTCTTCCCGCCTGTTGAAGCTTTCTGGAATATGTAGTAACCGCTCCCGCTCTTGCACAGTTATAAGCATGAACAAAGCCCCTTGGACATTCATTCGCACTTACGCTCATTCACATTCTTTTGTGGCTTTTCTTCCTCTGTAGTTCCAAATCCTCTCGTTCTCCTTCTACGTTTGAAACTCTGTCTCGAAGTGGAAGACGCCTCTTCTCTAGGCCTATGTCCTTGTCTTCCTCTGTCGTAAGTTCCGTAGCTTTTCAATGCTTTTCTATTCATGCAAATCCTGCACTTTCTTGGTCGTTCTTGTTCCCTGTTCCCGTTGGAAATTCCTAACCAAGCCTTCCTTGTCGAGAACCTTTGTATCAACACCACTTCTTCTTCCTATCGCACTATCCACTATTCATGTGAAACAAAATTTTTGTCAATCCCTGTCTTCGCACACCGCCCGCTCTACACAGTGCTGATCTTGTCCGCACATGATCGCTATTTCTCCCTACTGCCAACCGCACGATCGCCTACCTTGCGTAATTGAGTCGTTCTGCCTTAGCCACAATACTCTCCACATACTGAAGCTGTCATCCTTCCCCCTATCGCGATCAATGTTTGGTCCTGCGATCGTCTTCAAGTCATGATTTCGAACACCTCCCTATACTACAATCCTCTCATCGTTTCTACCCTAATCGCATGAACCAAACGTCTCTAACGTAAGCCTTATCTCACACCCCGTCTCCTGTTCGCGAGATAGCAAAGCCGCAATCCCCCTAAGCCTTTGCGATTGATCGTCACCTGTTCAAGCGAAACAAATGTCGGAAGTCTCACCAACTTCGCCCTCACTGTTGCAATCGACACACACTGTCGCGATTACCCTCTGTTGCAATCAACACCCACTATCGCGATTCCCCTCAGGTCGGGCATTCTTCCTACTTGCCCCACAATTCTCTCGTTGAATTTCTCAAGCCGGTCGAGTACCCTTCTTGTGCAATCTCTTCCTATGTGATGCAGTGTCGTAGCTCCACTCAAACACCTTTAAAACCCCTTGAACCCTCTGCTTGTTAAATCAAAAGCCCCTTTACCCAGGTATTTGAGCCTAGCATGTTACCCGAGCACTTACCCTAGGCACTTTTAATGTTTATGTTACTTTATTTTAGTTATTTTATTATTATTGATGCGTTGTAATTAAAAAAAAAGGGGGGAAAAGAAAATATGTGATGTATTTTTATTTTACGGTCACCGCTACCGCCAACATCATTGAAAGGTTTATTTTTGGACAATGGGGCAATTTCAAAAATATCCACTCAAGGAAGCGAGTACCCGTTCGTGGGGAAACTAAGTACCTTTTGGGGAAATGCTAGTTTGCGAGCTAACCCTTTTGTACAGGTACATTGAAGGCCCGATCTATCTTTTAAGGTCGTGGGTTAAGTTTTTATTTTTTTGCTCCTCGGCCGCAGTGTCTCACGACACTAACCAACTCGTCTCTTAGGATAGTTTTAAAGGTTAACATCCTCTGGTGCCCCCAAACGAGTTTAATTCCAGAAGGTTGCCAGATTTTTGGGGGAATTTGGACTTGTGAATAAAAAAGAATTTTAGGACTTATAAAATAAAAATAAAATGTAATAATTTGAAATCTTAAAATATTTGAAAATTTGAGCTCTTAAAGTATACTCTTAGGACTTTAAAATATTTAAAGTTTTGAGTTTTTGACATTTAGGCTTGACATTGTTTCAAAATTTGGGCTTTTAAATGTTTAGGCTCTTAGGGTTTTAAAATTTTAACGTTTATGCTACTAAAAATAAGATTTCAAAGCTTATAATATTAAGATTTGGATTTTAAAATTTCAACTCATAAATTTAAAAATATTTTGAATTTGAGTTATTCAGATTTAAGCTTTTAGGGGCGAAGCATAATTCAAATATTAAGCTTTCTTAAAATTTGAAAATAACCGCCATCTGATTCGCAATACTCTTGCTAGCGAACAAAAGGCAGTAAAATGCTTAAAATGCAAACTTGTGTTTGACATAAAATTATAATATTGACACAAACTTTCACGATGTTTAAATAGTTTTATGACTTTGTCAAGTCTTAAGACAATTTTCGATTCAAATATAAATACCTCAATAAATGTGAAGGCCTTTCAAGATATACTCTTTGAAGTTATTTGATTTAATACATGTTATAAATCATGTAAAATGTCTTAAGAAATCAAATGCTACAACTAAAATAGCTCAAATACATATTTTCAAAAGCCAGCATGTGCTCCAACCAAACGTATTGAATGCTCAAATATTATGTTCGAGAATGCTGCGCAGGCTAATTGACCTGTCTTATCTATAGAAAAAGGTTGTAAGTCCCACCACATTAGTCTGATTTTCCTCGCAATGACTGAAGTTGATGAGTCTAGTAGTTTTAAAATAAATTCTTAAATCTTAAATAATAATTTACAAGTTTAGATCACTAAACTAGTCCAGTCTTCCTTTTTGTAAGGACAGGAGTCGATAGGATTTATACTTTGAAAAGCTTAAATTAACAAAATTAAATGTTCCCCCTTAAGATATAAAAGCTTTAAATTACTAAATCCCCCGATGATGGCCGTGTTGATTGAAACATTCAACCAGATGGGTTAATCTTTTAAATCAAGATTTTCAAAGTAATCAATCAAAATACTCAAGTTAAAAATAAATTACTTAAAAGATTTAAAGCAAACCTCATTCACTCTCTATAACAGTTTGTCGAGGGTGACAATTTCTAACTGACTTTAGTTCGCAAAGAGCTAATTTAATATTAAGTGTATCCCAATATTCACAATAAAAGTAATTGCACGTCAGTAAGGATGTGTCTTGAGACCTCTGTTTGCTGGTTTTGCAGCCAAATAACACCACAAAATAGTGGTTATGACTATAGCCCTCTGACTGGGTGGTTGCCGCTAAATGATCTTATTATATTATGTTCACGGCCGTAACACGTATGTTCCCTAACGACTTTCCACCCTTTTCATTGTGAATTATAAGGGTACAATTGATTAACGCAAAGTATTTTTTTAGTTAAGTTCTATAAGAATTTCTTGGATGACGCAACCCATGACTGCTGACAAATATTCTTCTATCAGGTTGGGTCGACTTCCTCCTCTCACTAAGTAGATTTGGGACCATAGCCGTCCGGGATGACGGAACCATGAGATCTAGATCAGGTTTCACCTTCATTCTGCCACTATCCACTTTAAGCTTTAAGTGGTGAATTCTACAATTTAACTCTTAGGTATGTTGTTATTATATGATGAATACTCAATTCTTAATGACTAACTTTAATTGAAAGAGCTCTTCCGTTATTGGGAGGGGTAACCAACTGTAGGGGCGAGCGCTTATAGGAAACCTTGAACCCATATAAAAAAGTTCTCGCTAAAAGAGGGCAAAATTTCTGGGTAGTGTCTTATCTATAATCCAATTAGCATTTTGAAATTTCTACCATCTAAAGCTCCGTCAAGATAAAATTATAAATGCAAAGTCTTCCGAGGAGTAGTCGTGAATTTTCAAAGCTCACAGATTTTTTATGACTCTATAGATTTCCAGAGGTCTTGGGTTTATTCAACGAATAGATTCGGAAAAGGCATTTTGTTGCACAATAATAGAAAGTGAGATTGATTCCAAAGATGAAGACAAAGAAAATTCATATGAGTCAACTCTACAAATGATCGAGATGTAGACGTCAAGCCTCCTTCAGAAGAAATGAAAGATGGTGGGCAAAAAAACTACTATGGATGGATTGAAGGAAATTAACTTGGATTGTTGTTTGTCTAGAATTTCCAAAAAATCCAAGAAATCCTTATAGATCTGGGATGGTTGTTTGTCTAGGAAGAAAAATTTAAGTCGACCTTAACTAACAGAAGATTTTATGTCATCCAATTGTACTCTTATAATTCACAACTCAGATGGTAGAAATTTGTTGGAGAACATACGGGCTATGATCGTGATCATAATATAATGGTGTCATCTGGCGGCAACCATCCGGTCAGAGGGCTCTGGTCGTAACCGTTATTTTGTGGTGTCATTTGGCGGCAGAGCCATACTAACAGAAGACTCAAGCCACATCTTTATTGACGTGCAATTACTTTAAATGTAAATATAGAAATACACTTAATATGACATTAGCTTTTTGCGAACTAAAGTCAATTAGAAATTTGTCACCCTTGACAAACTGTTGCTGAGAGTGGATGAAGTTTGTCTTAAATCTTTTAAGTGATTTGTTTTTAATTTGAGCATTTTGATTGATTACTTTGAAAATTTTGATTTAAAAGATTAATCACTCAATTTAAAAGTTTCAATTAACACGACCATCATTGGGGGATTGAACATTTAAAGCTTTTATATTTGAAGGGGAGACATTCAGTTTTGTTAATTTAAGTTTTTCAAAGTATAAATCCTCTCAATACCCGTCCTTACAAAGAAGGAGGATCAAACTAATTTTGTGATCTGGGCTTAATAAATTATTATTTTAGGATTTAGACATTTATTTTAAAACTACTAAACTTGTCAACTCCAGTCTCTCCTATAGAAAGACGGCTCGATTAGCCCGTTCATCATTCTCGAATCTTAATATTTGAGCCTTCAGTACGTTTGGTTGGAGCTCATGCAGGCTTTTGAAAATATGTGGATTTGAGCTACTTGGATGGTTGATTTGAAGCACCATACAAAAAAAGTATTTTTTCCCGGAAGGCATGTTCTAATGGAAGATAACTGCTTACCACTAACGTGAAAGCGGAGAAATAGTTAACTTCTAATTTCAACGAAAAAAATTTATGCACTTAATAGAAATAAACAATAAACATTGAAGATCACTAACAACATGCACGGAAGGCTATTTAATGTACAAAAAAGAAAATAGATTGTAGAACCTCTAAAAAGGCCAAACATAAGAAGAGAGAGAGAGAGAGAGAGAGAGAGAGAGAGAGAGTTGATTGGTATTTGATAGATTTGGCATCCTCAATATTGAAAAGGAGATCATATTGAAAAGGAGATCATTTCTTTTAATCAACAAGAAGGATGATTTATATATCTAAAGAAACGTTTATTTTTGTTCTAAATTTCTTTTAACGTGACTCAAAATAAATATTTTTCAGCTTTATCCAATTCCATATAAATAAAAGAAGCTAATAAGAATAAGAATATAGTACTTTCCCAAGGGCAATGAAGCCGAACTTAGATTCACTCAGAGAAATGTCATTTATCATAGACTTGCAAATAGTGACTTACTAATTACAATTTAGAATAGAAACTCAAAATTCAACTTCCAAATTTGAAATTCAAAATTTAAGTTTGAAACTTAAAATTTGTTTAATGTAAAATTTTGGTATTTTTTATGACTCACGAGGCCCTAAGTTTTGCATCAATGCCTCATATGATATTGACCAATAGTTATTAATTTGACTCTGGTTAAACTGTGCTTAATGAAGCATTCTCTAGCAGGTATTAGTTGCCTCGTGTTTTTTTTTTTTTTTTTGCCAACTTGTGTTAATTTCGTTGCTCAAATTCAGGGTCTTGATCAACTTCTATCTGGGATTTTTCAGCAGAAGTCATTAATGCCAACTTCCCAAACATTCAATCAGCTGCAATTATTGTGTCCACAGCAGCAGCAGATCTTACTTCAATCCCAAAATTTAACGCAACAATCAGCTGCAGATATGGAGGGAAGAAGACTGAGGATGTTGCTCGGTAACAGGAACATTGGGATCGGAAAGGATGGCATCATGAACTCAGTGAGTGATGGAATTCCAAATGTTGGAGCGGCAATGCCGGCTGGATGTCCCGTTCTGCCACGTGCAGATACTGACATGTTGATTAAGGTGCACTATCCATAGAAACTCAATTTGGTTCCACAAGATGATTTCCATTGTTATTGCTTTGGTTGAGTTATTTTAATATTTTGGAGGATTAGGCATTGAGTAATCAACGCTATCGGTGATTTTGCTTACCTTTTTTTTTTCTTTTTTTGGGTTTGGGAGGATCTCATTGATTAGCAGTCTAAAATTAAAAATTAATCAAGTTTTTAGCTGGTGTTAGACAACGAGAATATCTTAAGACTGAAGTTATATTTTTGAATTTGCAGTTCAGCAGTTCAAACATTTCCATTCAATTATTGCACAGTTTACCTCATTTTTGGGTGAGGTCTTTACTTCTCTCCTTAGAGCCTAGAGTCTAGCCTTAGGTTTTCTTTGTTTGACCCTCTTAGAGGACTAGTACCTGACCCACATCATTTAGAAAATTCGAGCCACTTTGTCACTCCTTCGAGTCTTGCATGGGCGGTCCTGAATCCTCGGCATTTCTTTGAGTTGATTAGGACCGACACATGGAACTCGAGTCAAGTTTCTACATTAATAGGAGCAACTCCTAGGGAATCTCTTGTGACCCGAACGCCTAATAACACTGTATTTTGTGCACGCATCGCACCACACACAACTTTGACTTGAATTGACTCGCCCGTCGACAAACTCGTTTGATGACCTCGGATGACGAAATGGACCACACAGATGCGTCCGGGAAGTCGAATTTAGCTAGGAAACTTTAGCTAGGAAGGACATCCATATTGCTATAGTTATACGTGTGAATAATTAACACGAATATCAACGCACATTTTTTTTAGCGAGGTGCGGGCCCGGGCTCAACCTATGTGGTTAAACATTTTGAATTTTAAATTTTTGAATTTCAAATATGACATTTAATCTCACTTTAATTGAGAGTTAGAATTTTCCAATTGAGCTTCCTGCGTGAATGGAAGTCCTTTAATTCCCCGCCAATTGATTCAGGTAACGACTCCCTCGAGACTTTAGCTATAGAATTCGTCCTCCCTGAGGCGTAAAAAAAGAGAAATCTCGCTCGCCTGCTTCGCCTCCCAGAGAGATCGAGCTCCCCATTCGACATCACGAGCTCCTCACGCCGAACAGTCGCTCGACATTGCGCTCATCTTCTGCGAATGGAAACGCTCGCCTCCTGCTCCTCTTTGTGGACCGCAACCCTCACCTCCGCCTCTTCTCTTCCTCTGCTCGACACCACTCGAAGCTCGCCTCCTTTCTCCCCTGCTCGGATTCATTCAATCATCCCCTACTCGACTCCCTCATCGCAGAAAACTTCTCGCTCGCCTTCTTCCTCTCCCGAGACTCCTCTGCTCGGTCCCGCGCCCCCGGCTCCTCTTCCGCAAGCAGAAACGTTCGCGCCTGCTAATCGAAGCCGCTGCTCCTCCCTGAACCAAAGGCCGCGCTCCCTCAATCGCATTCCTCCGCTCGCCCGCTCCTCGGCGACCCGACACTGCAAACCGAGCTACCCTCTCCGCTTCCTCTTTTCCCCACTCGACTGAAGCTGCTCAGCACGTCTGCTCGCCTCAGCCTCCCTGCATTGAAGCCCTCCGCCTCCTTTTTTTCATCACTCGTTCAGGAAGGTAACCCTGTAAACTCTAGCTGATTGTTTGATAGCTGGTTTTGGGAAGAATTTAATTCAAATCTCATGGTGATTCTTTTGCTATTGTTAAATCATTACCTTAAATCATAGATTTCCCAATTCAGAGAAAGGGTTTATGAGATTTGAGTTTTGTTCTTTTTTTTTTTTACTCATCCACTTTTACGAAAAAAAATTATTCACGCATGGACTTTCTCCTCCTGATAGATTTGCATTATGTCACAAAGTAAAAAAGGGTCAAGGTGTTACCTTGATTTATGTAGGAGTGATTCTGGAATAGAGTTGTTTGGTATGGGGAAGGGAAGAAAGGGCCATCCAAGATAAATAATTTATGAATGAATGATGTCTTAGAAGTAACTGCAGCTAGGTATAAATCTCCATTGAAAGTGACGCTAGCAAATATATGTATCTTGCTCACGGATTGATGATGATTCAATAGTTTGTCTTCAATTCAACCTGTTAAATCAGCGCACAACATACATACATTTCATTCACCTGGTTCTGCTGCTCTTTCTTCGTTTTCTTTTTTTTTCTCCCCATGTCAGCTTACATAAGGAATCTAGATTCTTAACAAGGCACCCTTTCCCGGATTCAGTAAAACAGGTCTACCTGATAGTTTGGGTGAAAACAGCTTACATTCTTTGGTTCCAAATAATGTTGTACTTTCCACTTCTATTGTGCTTCTATTGTGCTTGCTGAAGGAAATTGCAATATAACTTGCTCTCTGAATGAGGCTTCTACCGATCTTGTTGATGAAAGCTCATCTCAACCTGCTTTTTTTCTCGATCTGCACTAGCTGATAATGGTAGTCCAAACCATAATACTTTATTATTCTATGGTGTGAAGTTGTATTTTAAGCAGGATATCAGCTGCACCCCATCAGAATGGGTTAAGTTTGTTCAAAATGCTTCAGAAAACACGCAATTCGTATGCCAATAATTTTGGTTATGAGGTGAAATTTTCAGCTAATCAATCGAAGGAGGATGCTTTTGGAAGTGATTGGGAGGCCTTATAGCTTGCTGAAATTATTTTCAGTTATTTGAAATATATATGTTGGCTGTTTTGAGGTGATTTAGAACGCCTGTTTTGAGGTCGTTTGGAGGCTGTTTCATTGCAGTTTTCTTGGAGTCTTTTAATGCAACGTTTCGGGGAGGTTTTATCACTGTTTTTGAAGCGATTTGGGGGCTGCATTTGCTCAACACTTTCACTATTTTTCAGACACTATAAACCATGTTTCGGGGAGGTTTCTTTTGTTGTTTAGTGTTGTCCACTATGGTTTGGGTTCGTAGGAAGCCACATAGGTGCTGCCCACCACTGTTTGGGATCGTAGGAAGCCACATAGGTGATGTCCACTATCGTTTGTATTTGTAGGAAGCCACATAGACGTTGTCCACTAGCGTTTGGGTTCGTAGGAAGCCACATAAGTGTTGCCCACCGTTGTTTGGGTTCGTAGGAAGCCACCCAAGTGTTGTCCACTATGGTTTTGGTTCGTAGGAAGCCACATAGATGTTGTCCGCTATGGTTTGGGTTCGTAGGAAGCCACATAGGTGTTGTTCATTGATGTTTGGGTTCGTAGGAAGTCATACAGGTGTTATTCGAAGTTTCTAGCTGTTATTCGAAGTCGTAGGATTACCACATACATTTGCTAGTTGTTGCTCAGAGCCGTATGAGGTCGTATGATCACCGTACTAGCTCGCTAGTTGCAGTCAGGAGTTGTAGGAAACCTTAGGATCACTTATTTAAAGTTCCTAGCTGTTGTCATGACTTGTTCTACTGTTTGCTATTTTCTGCTTTTCTCTGCAATTTATTTAAATTTCCTGCAAATTATATTATGTTTTGTGAGTTAAACATGCAACAATGATTGCAGCAGCAGATACGCCACGTACATAAGTATATTTTATTTGTTGTTATTTTACCATTGCGATTTACTCTTGCTCTAACACATGATGAGGTGTTGATTATAATTTTATTTTCAAAACAAATTATTTTTTAAAAAACTAAACAACATTTTCAAAAAAAAAAAAATCATAACACATTTTTTTGAATTTACGAGTCCCTCGGAGGAGGTAACCTACGGTTGCTAACGAGATCTCCCCGGTTTAAATGGGTTTCACAACTTGTTTAAGCTAAGTAAGTTCAAAAGAAAATACTGATATCGAAATGAGAGAACCGTGGAATTATAACCGGTGTCGCTATAATCAACTTTAAACCCCCATAATGACAACAAAAACAAAATCTTGAAACACACATGGTACAACCTTTTGAACCTTAGACTTCAGGATTGTTACTTCGACGAGAAGCTTGGAGCAACTTCATGGGCAGGGCGGCAAGGAGCTTGGAGCGGTCTACAAGTGGAGGTGGTTGTTTTCGCACAACAACAAAACAAGTCCACACCAGCTAAACTTTCCTAGTCTAAACAACCCATAGGACTTCAAGGTAGCTCGCCCTGCGCGAAGTAAATCCTCATATTTTATTTAGGCTCTTGCACAGTCATACTAAGCAGCATAAATTTTAACTTGCCTTAAGTTTTGAAGTTGTCGTCCAGAATAGCGTAAAACCTCTTATTTTTGCGTGCTATTTACATAACCAGTTATTATGTAAGTGTAAGTCTCAAACAAATAAAATTGACAGGATTGAGTACTCAAATATCATTCTCTCCAAAACACAGCCACACAGGAAAATAGTTTGGGAAGTTACTGAGGATTCCCCTCAGAATCTGTGACGTCTCATTCCCTTTACTTCATTGGAACTCTTGAAAGAAATGCTCCTACTTAAGCCACTCCCACTTATTTTTTCCACGTACTACCGTGAAAACCTAAACCTTAAATTCTTGAAGACTAGAACCACTGATCATTATCAAGAGTTTTCTCAAGTGACTCCCGTCATTTGAGATGTAATTAACTATAGGGGCTTACCTCTATGAGAAACTTGGAATTCAGTTAAAATAAATCCTATTTAAATCTTTGTTTTAAATAGGAGAATTTGTCTGTCACACATAAAAAGTTTGCAGACCAAATGAATGTCACAAATCTCTTAGTTTGCAGGATTGAGTCTATCGCCAGGGTCTACATTTATCTCTCAGAATGTGTAGTATTCAGGGTACCAGACACGATTATACAAACATTGGACGAATGAGATTCATTTGGTCTTATTTTTCAAAAATTAAAACACACTATTTTCAAAACCCAAACTATATACCCTCTTATATTAAATTAAATTTCAAAATTGTTTTCAATTTTCAGAAATTTGACCGATATGCACTGTTGCCCTTTTTTTTTTTTTATATCATCAACCTTCTTACTAATACTCTTTATTTAGTAGAAGATAGCTCAGTTACAGCAGCAGCAGCAGCAGCAGCAGCAAGGCGGCCAGCAACTCCAGCAATTGCAACAGCATGCTATGTCTAATCAGCAATCAAACGGTTTAAGTCCCCATCTTAATCAACAAGAAAAAATGGTCACTGCTACTGCAGATGGAAGCATCTCAAACTCGTTCCGAGGAAATGATCCGGTACTTAATGTTTATTTCTATATCATATGATTTGTTATCCGAAGAATTTGAACATCTTCATTTCATAAACCTGTATTCGTGAGCCATCATAAATTGTGCTATCCTTTATATTATATAAATGGGGCATTTACGTGCAATACCACATAGTCCTTATATTTACATATGTAACTCCTGAACTTTGATATTCACATGCATATCGTTAACATCAAATAAAAAATATCACTATCATTAACTTTCTAAAAGTGAAATTCACCTTGTCATGTATAGGTTTATAACACTGAAGTGTTATAAATGAAACTATCAAACTTAAGGTGTCAAGTATGTAAATCCATAAGAAATGTGTGGTATATATGTAAATCCATAAGAATTGTGTGGTATATATGTAAATTTCCCTATGCTAATTTGCATTAATTGATCTCGATCTTTAAACTTTTTATGGTTGTCTAGGCTACAAAAAACCATACAAGTCGTAAGCGGAAACAACCGGGGTCATCTTCAGGTCCAGCGAATAGTTCAGGAACAGGCAACACAGCTGGTCCTTCTCCAAGCTCCGCACCATCAACACCCTCCACTCAGACACCTGGCGACGTGATGTCTATGAGTTCAAATAAGCCTCTCATGATGTTCAGCTCTGATGCTACTGGAACTCTAACTTCGCCGTCTAATCAGTTGGTAATTAACTCTACCATAGCTGTGATTAAGTATGAAGTATGCTTTTATAATGTTTACTCATGATACAGTGGGACGACAAAGTACAGGCCGACATGGATCGGTTTGTGGAGGATGGATCATTGGACGACAATGTCGAATCGTTTCTTTCTCAGGACGACACGGATGCACGAGATGTTGTTGGTCGGGGTATGGATGTGACTAAAGGTATGCTTATTGTTAGCTTTTTTGGATCGACAGAAAGTAATGATATCATTAATAATCATAAATAGGTGTTTTCATGCAGTAGTATTTGTGAAATGTTCACTGACATAGTAATTGCAGGTTTTACCTTCAATGAAATTGGAGTCGCTCGGGCTAGTTCAAACAAGGTTGTCTGCTGCCATTTTTCTTCAGATGGAAAGCTTCTAGCAACAGGTGGTCATGACAAAAAGGTATCTTGTAATTAATGTGCTTAATTTTAGTTTGGAAGATTTACATAAAATGACACTCAATTGTTATGTATTTACATAACTAACACCTAAGCTACAAGTTTTGTATATATGCACCTTACCTATGCATGAAGAATGTGTATTTCACATTTCAAATGTTAAAATAGTGGTATTTTTTGATGTGATATAAAAGATTTGGGTTGTATAAATGTAAAAGAAAATTTTAGCTGTTAGATATGTAAATACATGGGAATTGGATGGTATGTATCTAAATGTCCCTTTAGTTTTCTATCGCTTCTATGTCGATCGTTGGGGAAGTAGCTCATGATATTCTTATATTGTTTCTGCATGCAGGCGGTTTTGTGGTTCGTTGATTCTTTGAAGCCAAAATCGACACTAGAAGAGCATTCGTATCTTATCACTGATGTTAGATTTAGTCCTAGCATGGCGAGATTGGCCACGTCTTCTTTTGACAAAACTGTCAGGGTTTGGGATGCTGACAATGTGAGTCATCTCAGTTTACTTTGGACAAGTATTCTTTTGAGGCCCTACTCTCTGGTGTTATTTATTTAAAATTTTGTCTCTGCTAACAATTTATATGGTCTTTTATTATGCATTTTCTCCTAAAACCTTTATTGCAACTTCTTTTTTGAATCCAAAAGCAATCTTTGTTCTCTATTCTCTCTCTCTCTCACTAATGCAAATTAATTAGGGTTTAGATTTCCTATATAGTTGAGATGATCGAATGAATGTTGATCACATAGAATAAACTAGGATTTGTGAATCCAAAACTACTAATTGCATAGTAACTAACTTTTTAGGGCGAAGATCAGAAAGTATGAGAATTTGAACAGTGATAATAATGCAACAATCAATCAATTATGAAGAAATCAATAAGAAATTCTAATGATGACAAATCAGCGATTAATGTAGTTTTGACACCATAATTGAAACCTCCGTTGTAAATTTAGTTGGAATTCAGAATTATAGCAAGCCAACAACAAAGTTTTTAGACAAAAGTTAAAAGAATTTTTTTTGCTTCTCGTTGGTACAAAGAGATAGCAAGCCGATAGCTCTCTTTATTTTCATAGATGTAGATATATTAACATGGTTAATTGCTCAGATATTCTTTCCTAAAAAATTGTAATGTAATTGATTTGTTATGAATTAGAATAAAACGCACACACTAAAATAAGCACGCATAAATCAGTTTTGATGAGTTTTGATTGGTATTTTTGTTTAGTATAAACATAAAGATATCCAACACTTATTCTCAAAAATTTTTTATTATTTATCAGTATTTTACTATTCTGTCCTCTATATATAGCCTATTCCCTACATTTGTAATTAAAGTAATTCCATGTGAATGACAAAGTCTAGAATTCAAAACAGAGAATAATGATCATGTCTTCAAAACAAAAGATCGTCAACAACTTGTTAGACCGGTGCCTATGGCACCATCCGCCTCGTGCTCCATTGAGTCGACGGTGAGCCTGCCAAAATAATTTTGAAGATTTATGTTAGGCGTAAAATTAAAAGGGCAATTTAGTTATTTGGTAATTATTATTATGGGGTATAAGTAGAGCTTAATATGTTTGGAGTTATGTGATCATTGTCTTAAATCATAGGGTTAGGGTGGGGTTTGAGAGAGATCACTTACTTCTCAAATCTTATTTGTTTATCTTTTATGCATTCGGTGGAATCCTAATCTATTATTTATGCCCTAATTTCTATGAATATTTGTCACATTCCTATCACAAACAATCTCTTCTCAACTCATTGTTCATCCAAAAAGAAGATAATAACTTCTTTTAGTTTTCAAAATCCTAAGAGAAAATGATGTATGAAACTTGTAGTATCAACTTTTTTGTGTGGAATCAGTTTTACTATCTCATGATTTATTTGTGTGGAACTAGTTTACTATCTTTTTTCTCATTTCAGTCCTATACTTTATATGTATTTGCAGCCAGGATATTCACTACGCACCTTTACTGGGCATTCTGCAACTGTAACGTCTCTGGATTTTCATCCCAACAAAGATGATCTCATATCCTCGTGTGATGGGGAGGGAGAAGTGCGCTATTGGAGTATTACTAATGGTAGTTGTACAAGATTCTTCAAGGTACTATTTTTTTTCTTTTCCTGCTTTTAAATTCCTTAATTTTGCATTCATAAAATGATAATGTTTCTGTTGAAAGAATTTTTTCCGTAAAAAAATTTAACACGTCGTTGTGAATTTGTTTGCTTGATATTTTCTTCTGTCAGGGCGGCACTGCACAAATGAGATTTCAACCACGTCTGGGGAGATATCTTGCAGCTGCTGCAGAGAACATAGTGGCTGTATTGGATGTGGAGACCCAGAGTCGCCTTCATTCATTGCAGGTTTGTGATTGTGTAACTCGGGAATTGTATTATCATAGAATGCTTATAAGTTTTAATTGAATAAAGGTGTTTTACATATTTACCTGAATGTTTTTTGGTGAATATATCTTGATGGCGGACTAGTTTTTCATTGATTAATTAGGTATTGGTAAACAAAATTGATGACGTTTAGAAGATGAAGTGCTTAGAATAATATCTTGAATGCTTAAGGATAAAAAGAAAAAGACAAGGAACTTTTATCTCTTTTTTTTTTTATAGCTATACTAGCCGTGCTTTTCAATTTTATTCAGGGGCACTCTAAACATGTCCAATCTATTTGCTGGGATTCTTCTGGCGAGTTATTGGCTTCGGTCAGTGAAGACTCGGTCCGGGTATGGAGGGAGGGCGAGTGCGTGCATGAATTGAACTGCAGCGGCAATAAATTCCACTCATGTGTATTCCACCCCACCTATTCGTCTTTGCTCGTCATTGGCTGTTATCAGGTAAAGTTTGCATTTAAGTTTTTTAAGAAGTTATGGAGCTTTGTTGGTCCCAATTGATTTATGAATTATCTTTATGCAATGCCAAGTGAAGTTACTTTGGCTTGTTTGGTGTTTTTGGTAAATTACAACATTTCTATTATATTGTTAAGAAACAAGTTTTCAATTAAGCTCAAAAGCTGTTGTGCTTTAGGAGATTTATATGGATCTTAGATCTTAGTTATGTATTGAGGAAGATATCCTATAAATGCTGATGATGGAAGTCTATTGCCAATTACTGCAATGTTTCCTTTGAGGAACTCTATTTCTACTGTTCATCAAAAACAGGCACTCATAATTTAGTGAAGTTTTCTTGAGAACTGCAAGCACATTTGTGTGTGTGTGTGTAGACAGACCAGAGGATAGAAAAACTTATTTCTGAACTAACTTGGTTTGGATGATGTACCATGCAGTCTCTGGAGCTATGGGATATAGCTGAGAACAAGACGCTGACGCTTGGGGCGCATGATGGACTGATTGCTGCTCTTGCGGCATCTAACATTAATGGATTAGTGGCTTCGGCCAGCCATGATAAGTTTGTTAAGCTATGGAAGTAGTTAGTCTTCTTCACCTATTCTGAAATTTTGGTACTGTGTTTAATTGTAACTCTACACACATTGAGTGTCCTCTCAATTTAGCTAATTTCAGAGAGGCAATAGCTCCATTTTGCCGCACTGCAATAGGTTGCAGTAACAGCCACTGGTGCCGTGCTGTTGCACTCAATGTGTGATGATGTGTAGCTGCATCTAGGCAAAATTTTGTACATACTTTGTTAAGGGAACTATCTGAAATTTATGATTATCGTTATGGGGGAGGACTACCATGATTTTGCTTCCAATGTCTTGTAGGCAGAAAATTTGGGTCTAATTCCTATTATAGTTTATAAGGTTTATTTTAGGATGGGTATAATATATAATTAATAAACTTTAAAAAATAGGATTATATTCATTTCAAAATAGATGTGATGGTTATAAAAATTTGATCAGATTTAATCTAGAATATTTTGACCTAAATTTTATCGGTGATCAAAGGTAAATAATGCGTGTAAGTTTATTAATATAATGTTATAATCTTCTAAAACTGAAATTTGTCTTAAAAGTTGGTTTACATTTTCTTTTATGATTTTGTTCATTCTGCTTTAATGAATTACTTTTTAGCAGCATTTGTAATTTTTTTTTAAATACCATGACAACAATAAGCCTTTATACCCCAGTCAGATGAATCTTTTTTTTTTTTTCATTGAGTTTGTTGATTGTCATGTCATATTTTCATTTAATTCTAATAGATTAAAATTATACAATATGCCCCAAGAATTTTTAGGTCTCTCTTTCTTAATATAAACTAAATCTAAATTATCTACTAACCTGATAGGATCATGAAATGGTCAAGTTTAATATGATCAAATCATCTAAAGATCACTAATTTTGTTTGTCATTGGAGCCACACCACTCCTATCACCGATATATTCATTTCATATTTTATCTGTAAGTGTCGAGCCACTTATCCGCTTAAGCATTCTCATCTCAACAACACTTTATTTTATGCTTCTCTTTTAGGGGCCAACATTTTAACATATAGAGCATTGCAGGTATCACTATTTTATAAAATTTTCTTTCCAAGCGAAGCATTACTTTGTTATAACACAATAAGCCCAATGCATTTCTCCACTTCAACCAACCAACTTGAATTCTATTAATAACATTCCCATCTATATCACCATCTCTTTTAACAATAGATCTCAAGATATCTAAAATGTCAACATTTTAATTACTTGTTATAGCTACTACTACTATTATATTCCATGGATTCAATTTTAGATCACTCAAACAAAGGACTTCAGACTCCAATAGACCTTCATAATTCAAGTTTTTCGTGAATTCTTTCTCTAGTCTTATCCACAAGAAGTATAAAGAATATCATCAGCAAAAAACATGCACCAAAGTACATCCTCCTATAAATGCCCATTAAGAGCATCTATGACTAAAGCAAAAAGACATGAGCTTAAAGCCGATCTCTAACGCAATTAGTTGAACTAGGAAAATACTTATCAATCCTCCTATTTGAACAGAAACAACTCTAGCATATAAATGTTTAATGACTTGAATATAAGTAATCAACAACTTTCTTCTCTAGAACTTTTCAAAAAAATTATTTCAAAATCTTATTGTAAGCTTTTTCTAAATCAATAAATATCATATATAAATCCTACTTATTCTCTCAGTGCTTCTCCATCAAACAACTCAATAAATATATAGCTTCCAAAATAGACCTCTCTAACATAAATCTAAACTGATATTCAGAAATTTTGTATAACATTTAAACCTGTGTAATCACCCTCCCTCATAATTTTAAAGTGTAACACATCAACCCAATTCCTCTATAATTTGCACTCTGGCATCCCCTTTATTCTTAAAAATGGGTCCAAAATACTCTTCCTCCCTTCTTGTGCATCCCCTCCATCAAAGTTAACAAATTATATTATTGTTAGAACTTTTCAAAGGCCCCTTTGTTTCATCATATTTAATCTTTTTCATTCATAATCAGAGGTAAAAAAAAAAAAAGTAAAATTGGTACTCAAATGTGACTTCTGATAAAGTAAATTCAATATATTTTTTAAGTGCCCATTTGTTTAATACGTATAAACAATATTAGATATGTCAAAATGTCATTCACATCGATATTTGAAAAGAACTGCGCCATTGATCAGGCGTTAAAAACAAACTTCCCATGAAACTCTACCTGTTTAGACCTGCGACCGATAGAAGTTACACCTGAAAATCTGCAAGAGCAAATCACAACAGAAGAAATTTCAATAAGTATTGACCAGTTGGTTGGAAAACAAAAAAAAAAAATTTCTAAGTTGTCAGATTTAAATATTCATATTACCTAAATGATAAAAAATAAAAATAATAAAAAAGAGCTGAGTTTTCCGTTTTAGAGGGAAACAATCAACAAAACAAGCTACATAACCTCTTCTATCCAACAATCCTTTCAGCTATTATTCTATAGATGCTAAGATAAATGTAATAAGAGAAAAAAAAAATTTCTCCAAATATGGTGATGCATTGAAAATGAAAGCAATGCAACAGTAATCTATTGCATTTGAAATGATTTGGAGTTTGTTTAATTTGATGTAAAATAAATAAATAAATAAATATATATAT